CGGGGTATACAGTAGAAGTCGTAGCGGTCGTAGAGTTTTAAGTCGTAGACAATTAACCGATCATAGTTGAATATGAGAAAAATAATCGACTGATTGGTCAATTTTTTACTTAGGATCCTACGACCGCTACGACTTCTATTGTAGATCCCGCATCATTTTAATAAAAAAGATACACAACGCATAATAAAATTAAACTTTAAAAATAAAATATTTAAATAAGTACATAATGATTCAAATGATATATATAATATATATATATGTATAAAATATACATTAAACTAGTCAACATATCTATTTTATATGAAAAAAAAATTTGAAAAGAAAATTTACAAATAAGAAACGAAAAATAGATAACAACTCTACATAAAAGCAACAAACACTAGAAATTCTTAGCTTAAAAAATTTTTTAATCATCTAGAAGACGTTGAATGTCGAATACTATTATTACGGTTTGTTGTTCAAAACAGTTTGCCCTTTTTCATTCAAAATTAATGAATGTTGAATCTTCAAAATTTATTAATTTGATTAAAATAAGAGTGTCTTCAAGTATTGAAGTAATGGGTAGAAGAGATTGAAAAAAGAAATCGATAAAGAATATCTAAAAATGAAAAATGTTATAGTAGATAAGTTAGTTGAAATTAAAATTGTATCGAGTACAGTAGATTTAGAAAATAAAGCGAAAAGATATTGACACAATTTTTTAATATTTTAATTTTTTTACAAATGTATCTCTTTTTTTATGTTTCTTTAATTAACTAAAGTTTTAATTCTCCATAGAAGTTAAGCTGGGAATTACAGCTCATTGGATTAATTCCCAAGCTTTAGAAAAAATTGCATTAACTTGTCGAAGAATGAAAGGAAGGCACATATATGATACTTTGACAAAAGCTATTACTTTCGTACTTTTTTAATATCATAATTGAAATAAAATATGCTGCAACTGATAATGGTACAAATTTCGTTAAGACATTTCGGTATGTTTCATAATACTATATATATTTGCTATATATATTTTATTACATATTTGTACCGAGTTATGATATTTCTTGCGTTACATATATTTAATACATAATCTTATAAATTTTTAGAACTTTTGAAAAATACGAAAGTGATGATGAATCTATAGAATTTCACGATGTAAATGAATTATTGAATATGAATGATACAGAAAATAAAAAAAGAGAAGATATTATTACTCTTCCACGGTATCATAGATGCGTAATAACTATACATTAAATCTTATGCCATTGTATTTGCCATTCGCTTAATCGGCTTGATAATGCGTCGTCTAAAACAGCTGACATGTTACCATCAAATTTAAATTTTCTTTATGGAGAAATTTACGCATGATTCAATCATAGTTTAGTAGAAAAATAGAATATAAAAGATTATACGATATTTTAAATAATAGTGAAATCGTTTCACAACTTCATACAGCTGTGTTCTACACGTTGGTTGTGCAGACATAACGTAATAAATGTGTTATTAGAACAATGAACTAAAAATATATTTTTAAGTTGTTAACAAAAAAAATGTTACACAGCAAGAATACTAAACGAAATATTACATAACGAAGTTAATTACTTGTATCTGATCATTCTTAAACCAGTTCTTTACAAATTAAATAAAGTAAATTGCATTTTCCAGTTAAATTATGTAGAAATCGATTGAGGACATAAAAAGATTCGTGTATTTGTGTTATAGCTAGAAAAATTTTGAAGTTTTTGTTTGTAGAAAATATAAATGATATTATAAAAAAATGTTGAACATTGAACTTGCATACGTGGAATCAAATAAAACTGATTTTGAAGTAGAGTATTATAAATACTATCGTAAAGTAAAAGCATCTGTATCAAAAAAGTGATATAAAAAATTTAGAACGACATATTATTACCTAAAGAAATTATAGGAATTAATAAAAAAATTACCTCTTAATATTAATAATTTTAAAAGAATTTAGGCGTTAAGTTAAATGTATATCTGTCACAAGTTGCAAAAATTAAATTTAGATGTTCCTTTACTGGATACATTTATTGATAAGAAAGTTTTGTTTAAAGCTGAGTGTAAGTATAATATATTAAGTGATGCAGACTGCAGTGCATTGTATAGAAAAGAAATATTGAAAGATAGATATCAGTTTTGGCCAATTGTAGCGCAAACAAAATGCAGGAGGTACGCTTGCTTTTAAAAATATTGCAGACTTTGTATTGATAATCTTAAGTTTGCCAATATTAAACGCAACAGTGGAAAGAATTTTTAGCATTATGAATGCGACAAAAGATAAAATAAGGAATAAAATAGGGACAGAAATGTTAAATGCAATCCTTATGATAAAAGCGCATTCGCACACTAACAATTATTGTTGCAAAGATTTTGTAAATATCAAAGATATGTTTAAGAAGATTGATAAAGAAAAAGTAGAAAATAAGGAAGATAAGCGATAATCTGTATCTCGTAGAGGCGGTGAATGAAATAGAAAGAATGTCTTGTATGAGAGCGTAAGTGCGGTTTTTAATCTGTGAGCTGTACACTCACCGACTAAAAGGTTACAACACTTTTTTTGTAATGGGTTTGTCATAGATCCATAAGCAAGGATCAATCGCTCGGTGAGCAGACTGCATTCGGAAACTCTTTAAAAAAAGTGTTGCAACCTTTTAGTCAGTGAGTGTATACCTTTTGAATTGAGATAGGTATATGTTTGATACGAAATGATAATATATCGGATATTATACACATTAATATATATTAGATATTAAATAATAATATATGTGATATTATAAGATACTAATATATGTTTGATAATAAATGTAATATTATGCGATATATTGATATATGATGCTCTCCTTTGCCACGGACGTTAAAGCGATTCATCAGATTGATATACAAAGCAAAAATACATAAAATAGAAAATAAAGAAAATAAAGATAAGTTCATCGTCTGTTGGCGCGTAGTAGCGCCATGAGCGCTGAAAGTTGGCACCTTGGAATCCCAAAAACCTGATGTCATGACTCGAACGGGGTGCTTGCCAGCCCATCGCCGCTTCTCGCGTGCCGAGCTAGCAATGAGCGTACACTTGGTAGTAGTAGGCCGGGCGCGTATTTGGTAATCTTTAGAGATTAATATCTCATTAAACTATTGCGAAAATTGGTAGAGGACTTTCCGTCTCAATTTAGTATATACAATTGAGAATAAAATGAGCATATATATGACCACAATAAAAATCAGTCACGCATAACATATGACATCTGATATAAGTAAAGAATATTAAATTGATAGTTAACAAAATGATGGAATGTGGATAAATTATCATTAATTAACATACGATATATAACTAAGTAATAGTGAAATATACACGAAAAATTCTAATATTATCAATGATTTAACAGACAGTAGAATAATGAATGAGCAAATTAACAATAATATATTGATTAGCATTAATTAGAATAAAAGAATGAAAATATTAAGGAAATAACGAGGATTAATAGAAAATATTCTTTTTATTTTTAATTTACAAGAATAGTCAATATAATAAGTAAATTTAGGCAAATATAAAATTCTTAAAATAAGTAAAGTAATGAACTGAAACATATACATATATATTTATATATGTATATGTATTTCTTAAAATGAAAATAAGGAAAGTGATCTTTTACCCAGTACACTTACCAAATCCCTGATACAATCGTGGAATAAATAATTTCCAAGGATTTTCCAGTTAAAAGGATTGTCTCAATGTTAATATCGGTTCTTCTAACTTCCATAACTTGATTCTTGGCCGCATGCCAAAGGCAAGTCACGAAATGTCCTCGTGGCGTGAAAATTTTCAATTGCACAGTGATGAATATCGTCAATATAAAGCAATCAGTTCTTCATATCTTCCCAGGGATAATTGATTACGACAATCAGAAATGAAAATACTGAACGAACTAGTAAAGAGGATGCCCACGGTATAGGGGGGATTTCTGCTCTAGAGATGGAACCTCTGAAACCCATAAATTCATTTAGAGTATAATGGAATCTATCGCCCAATATCAAATTCCACTTTTTTTACCGGCAAGGAAAGTTGAAAAAATATTTGAAGTTTTACGTAGAGACGACGCGGTGGTGAGAGAGGCAGAGAGCGAGTGAGGGTAGCAAGAGTGGAGGGGGAAAGCCGTTGACGTACCTGGGCATCCGGGCAAACTATTTGCCCGGGTACCCAGGTACGTCAACGGCTTTCCCCCTCCACTCTTGCTACCCTCACTCGCTCTCTGCCTCTCTCACCACCGCGTCATCACTATGTAAAACTTGTAAGGTTGAGGCTAGTTTTTTTCATTTGAATTTTTATGTGAAACTCTCTAGTCTTCTTTATAAATAGGAAATAGAATCTGTAACTAGTGAAAATCCTGATTGTCTGGATTGTCTGGAAGGGCGGTCGATTAGAGATTTCTGCTATGATTGTCTATCTTGAGAACATTAAGCACTTTATTCACGTTTCTTTGTACAGTCTGAGTGAAGATACTCCAAGGATTCTCGCACGCGATTTACACGAATACTTATTGAGTAGGCTTATAACGATGACTCCTGAGAAAATCTCGTGGAAAAGTACACGAAAACTAACGTCCGACTTATGATACCACGTCTTTTTCTCTCTTCGCCAGTTACTCCGAAAGTACACAGATTTATCGTGTTCAAGAAGCTATGCTTCAACGGGCTTCGAGCTCTCAATCTGAGCTCTCAAGGCTCCGGATATATTGTTCCGATTCTAAGCACTTTTGTTCCAATTTTAAGTTGCGACTACTCCGATTTTCGCGAGTTATTTTACCGCGTCGCGAAGAGCGAAAGATGAATTCTCTGCTCCGGCATACGCTTATATAGATCGATGTCCAATCAAGCGGAACTGTCAGGTGTCAGCACCTGCTGGTGCTAAATGTCGCGGAGGTATCGCTCAGTAGCGACCTCTTCGTTGAGGCTCGGCTTGAGGTGTTTGGGGATCTCCAGAGGAGGGGGGGGGAGGGTCTGACGTTCTCTCTGATTCTAGTTCTTTCCGCCGCGGCGGTTTGTCATATTGATTCTTGTGGAAGGTTGAAGGGATCTCTAGGAACTCTAGGAAGCGACTGGCCAAGTTTACCTCGTCAACGAGGGTCAGGGATATTAATTAGAAGAAGAAGATTCAAATTTACTAAAAGGGCAAAAAATAAAGTAATTATTTAAAATACCTTCTCCCCCAACCTCAAATTTTAATAAAAATACACTTATTCAATGTGTTTTCACTCAAAACGGACGAATCTGATTAAAAAAAAAACGCGGCGATCGGCCTCATGAATCGAGTTATTAAGCGTTAAAAGTTCAAGACTTTAGAAATTAAAATATCCGTCATTCCGACTCGATATAATATTATGTATAAGTTCTGTTTTAATTACACAAATTCACTGCTTTAAAAACACAAATTCACTGCTTTAAAAACACAGATTCACTGCTTTAAGCACACAAATTCTTTGCATTAACAGTGAATTTGTGAAGCAGAGAATTTGTGTTTTTAAAGCAATGTGTTTTAGTGAAAACTTTCGTTTTGAGTGAAAACACGTCGAATAAGTGTATTTTTATTATGATTTGAGATAGGAGGGAGGGGCGTAATTATTCTAAATAATTATCCAAAATAATATGATAAGAAATATAGTAACTAGATGAGCTAAAGAAAGAATTCAAAAATAATAGGTCCTGTGTCAAAGTATCCAAATATATCGTAAGAAGCGATAGGATATATTAATTATTTCCTCCAACCGGAGACAAGAAGTAGGTACCTCATGAATGTTGAATGTGAGGTTAGACTGTAGGTTTGTTTATTTATTTTTTTTTTTAGATTAATTAATTAAAGCGAATCTTCATGCCATGGCTAGCTTGTCGTTCTCGTCGTCTACGCAATCCTATAGTGAGCCACTTACACAGGAACAGGAAATGATACTTTATAAAAGCATAAAGATGGTCAGTGTTATTTTTGAATGGACTAGAAAGTACATTAACATCTTTTGTTAAAGATGTTTTGAATCTGTTGCAGCATCTGCAAGAAATTCAAATAGTTACTCAAGATATTAATCAGCAATTCAAAAATATTCAAGAAGAAATGCTTGTCACAGCATCTTTAATAAATGTGATTGAATCAAAAACCCAAGGAAATTAATTCGGATTAATACATTTGCAAAGATAAAAAATATGGCATATATCTTAGAGATGTAAAAAGTATTACTTGCCGAATATATAACTTCTCAAACAATGCGAACAATATTACCAAAGTATCTAAAGATCTATGATATGATGTTGAGAGATTCAAAAGCTTTGTGTTATGAAAACAAATTCTCAATAAAAATAATTTTCCTGTAATTTTATGTAATAATATAAGAATGATTTGTTTATTATAACTTCTGCAAAAGTATATTTTATATAAGTAGCTATAAAAATAATCTTATTTGAAGCATTTTTCACATTTCCATAAGATTTATATATATAATGTAAAAAAATCTTTCATTAAGTACTTCAATATTATCTGCATTTTGAAAATTGAATTTTGTGTCAATTGATTAAAATTTTATAATTAAACGTAAAATAAAAAAAATTAGAATAAAAGTTAATTCTAATTTTTTTCAACTCTTTTCAGCATGAAAAAATAGAATAATTGGATTGAGATAGAAAAAGAAATTCGACCGTACTGAAATTGATCGCTATTTGAAAATTAAGAATCTGTGAATTTATGATATTATGAAATTTTCTTATTAATTCTTTATCTTTTTATCATATTTTTTCCTCTTACTCATGCTACCTGTTATCTCTTCCAAGAAGAGACCTTTCTAATAAGTATAACCTTGTGCTAATATATTGATGGAAAACTGTCATGCTTAGTCAGTCGTACGATACTTGGCACACTTATGAAAACAAAGATGTAATTTTGTTTAGTACAGACAACATAAATAAAAAATCGAGAAAAACATCTTACGAGACGAATCGTGCTACAAGTTGCAGAATACGTCCATAGTTTGCACTTAATACACAGTTATTAAAATTTTTAGTTAACAATGTGTCTCTTTGTATTTTTGGCCTTCTCTTCCTGGGTCGGGTAAGAAATGTACACTTATTGATTTTATTTTTGCATCTCTTGCATAGCAAAGAGGATTTTAGCCTCATCACGATAAAAAATGTTCTGTGAATAAAATTTAAAAAGTAAGAGGAAAAAGAGTAAAAGATCTATGTAGAAAGTACAATTTTAATAAGATGGCTTTGTATAAATAATTATACTTTATACTATACTAAAAATTATATTTATGAAAATAACTGCTTGCATTAATATATTCATTATTATTATCCTCATATATTATATTACATAATATTAATGCTTTATTGACAAAAATATAGAATTTGTTATCAATAGGCCAAATTATATCTTTGCTTCTTTTAATTTAACGAGAAATTCGGAATTATCAAATGTAGAACTTTTTGTAAACTTTTTAATCAAGCTGCGAAAAATGCGATATTAAATATAGAAATAAATTAAAGATAAATTATAATTAAATACAGAAATAGGTTAAAGGTAAATTATATTTTTAAAAATTCTTCATTGTACTAAATAATTTTTTTGCAATATATTGAATATTAGTATTATCGCGTTTCTTATTACATAATAAGTTTATATGCGCAATCTACTTATTTTCTTGAGATAAGAATTGCATCATTATCAATTTACTGATATTTGTACGAACTTACATAATAACACGTATGTATTTTACTGCCACCAATAAACATTGAGCCAATAAGCATCGATTAATATTAGAACTTATCTTCGCGATAATAGTGTGAGGTGCCGACAATGGAATCTATTTTTAAGTACTTTTAGCGCGCAGTTTCAAGTCACTTCTTCATTTTTTACTGTCGAAGACAAATCGAAATTGAAGACAAATCGGTAAATATAGGTCGAAACTATCGATTTTTATAAGAAACATCATTTGTAATCGTTTACATTTATGTTGAACGTTTTAGAGATTTATTGCTCCAATTGAGAAGTTTGAACTCCAATCTATTGTTTTTACTTAGGACGATGGCTGCGATCGTGCAAGGATCCATTGCAACTACAACGTGGGGTACTGTAAATGGTCAGGAAATCAAGAAGTTTACGTTGAAAAATAAAGCTTCTCAAGAAGTCGATGTCATAACATATGGTGCGGTGGTAACCGCTATTAGAACGCCAGATAGAGAAGGAAATGTAGCGGACGTTGTGCTCGGCTTTGACAATATCGAAGGTATTCTTATAATTTTTACTTACTTTTACGAATAAATATTTGATAAAATCCTCGTTCTATTACATTTTATCATTGCTTGGCCTGTTCTTAAAGATATAAAAATTAAAATAAAATTATAACAAAATATATTCACACTGGTAACAGAATTAATATAATAATTTTAGGGACTATAATTACAGAATATAATAAATGAAAATAGTTATACAACGTAAAACATACATTATGTCTCATAACATACCGAGGAGACATTACATAGTTTTATTTCTTTCCGCATTGTTTCTATTTTCAACTAACTGTCTGTACCTGAAATATCTTTTATTTTTTGACTTAAGAAACTTTGGGTTTGTTACATTTAAGGACCGGATTCATTTCATGCGTTTTTTATCTCAAATCTAAGGACATTTAAGCTTATCATTTTATTATTGACAGTATAAGCATTTCAATGATTGACTGCAAGTAGCTATTATTATGCATATGTTTCTTTTTCCGATATATATTATAATGAACATTATGATATTCGTTTTTCATATTACCAGCGTCTGTTTTAGAGAGCGAAATAGAAAATTTATTATGTTTTGTTTTTATCGATCTGTGTAATAAATATATATGTTTATTGAAAATGATCCAAGTGTGATCGAAACGTTTGTTTACTGCTAGCATATTAGATTAAATTTTTACTTAACGATATATTTATTTCTTTTATTTTCGTTCAACTTCTGTATTTTGACGGTTTATTTTATTTTATATAATCATTTTTCGCCCCTTTTTTTTGGTTTTTTAAAATTATGAGCCTTATTACTAATAGATAATAAAAATACATTAATTTAAAGTATCAATAATATTTTAGAGCATGAAATATATATTTCCGTAGTTTTATAATAGTTAATATGCTTAACATAAAAATAGTTTTATATACAAAAATTCATAAGGATGTAAATTAAAGTTACTGTGAAGAACAAGATCATTTCGAATGAGAAAAACAATATAATAAATTTTACCTTAGGTTACCTTTCATCAAATAATCCACACTTTGGTGCCACAATTGGACGAGTCGCAAATCGTATCGGCAAAGCAACTTTTGTTGTGGATGGCCAACGTTATAACGTGTCCAAAAATAGTGGTGAGAACAGCCTCCACGGTGGTACTCACGGTTGGAGTTCCAAGGTATGGGATGCAACAATTCAGGACAATTGTGTGGTGATGACTTTGGTCAGTCCGGATGGTGATGAGGGTTATCCGGGCTCAGTAACAGCGATAGCGAGCTTCCAACTGATGAATGATGGAGAGTTGCACATAGAGATGAAAGCCCATTCCAAAAAGGCGACGCCGGTTAATTTAACGAATCATAGCTACTTCAATCTCGCTGGACACGTACGTAGTATATTCCTTTCTGATTTGACGCAGAAAGTATTTATGTTTTCGAAAAAGACAAAGAAATTACAAGACAGCTTCTAATGCATATTTCGCATTGAACGAAAGAAGAAATAAATTAAAAAAAGAACAAGTCAGAAAGAACAGCTCCGATGAACGCAGATTATCGTTTTATCAGAGATATTTTTATCGAAAAATTATGGGCTTTCTACAATAAATCGTTAATAATAGATCAGAAGTCATGAGCGGGTTGTGAGCAAGTCAGTAGTATCATAAAATAATAAAATAGTAATCAATAGAGATGATCAAATTTTATTTCTAATGATTTAAAACTTAGATCATATTATAACTGACTAATCATATAATGTATTTGTCCTGAACAACTATTCTTTTAAAATATTGTAACAATCTAATGTGATTTATTTTGGATGTAAGTTTCCTAAGATTTTTTTTATGATTTGTAATTTTGACTTACCACTGGTGTGGTATAAGTGATGACTAACGGCTTATTGTAGAAAATACAAACGTTGCGCTTGTCATAAGAAAAAAAATAGTGAAAGATTTAATTTAATTCCATTTGTAATTATATCACAGATAATAATGTCATTGCTAGACAACTAATTGATCGATCGCGTCGAAAGTTGTATGGATTATTATCTATTTTGTTTTTCAGGCCACAAACGCATCAGAAATGTATAAACATGTGATTACGATGAACGCCGATCGCTGGACTGTCACGGATTCCGAGAGCATTCCGACTGGTGAGATTCGATCAGTTGCGAACAGCATAATGGATCTAAGGAACCCAACAAAGTTCGGTGATGTCATCGACAAAGTACCGGGCGGCGGTTACGACAATAATTTCTGCTTGCCGAAGTCGAGCAATGATGGGAAAGTCAATTTCGTAGCCAAAGTAGTGCATCCATCTTCAGGACGCCGGTTGGACGTATACTCGAATCAACCGGGCGTTCAGCTTTACACGACCAATTCTGTACCTGAAAATGGCATCGTGGGCAAAGACGGAGCAAAGTACTTCAGACACGCCGCTTTTTGCTTGGAAACGCAAAATTATCCTGATGCTGTAAATCATAAAAACTTCCCAAACAGCGTGCTGCGACCATGCGATACATACAATCATGTTGTCTTGTACAAATTTGGAGTAGAAAATTAATGCATTTCCATTTCTCTGTTATAAATTTTGAAAAATTAAACAAATATTAAATAATAATTAATTTTTTACCGCGTTAATCTATAATTACAACCCGGATTAGTAATTAACGCGTTATTTATAACATTGTTACTGTTACAAGTTACTTTTTCCGATAACGATGTTACATTTTTGGGGTAACAATACGATTATTTGTAGCTATGTAAAAGTTTAGTCGTAACTAGACTATATATATACATATATCAGTTTTTAAGCTTTGTTCCTTTATTAGAATTTTGACTTTTCTTTAGAATATTTACCGCAAAAATCTGTATATAAGTGTTTTTCATTGACAGAACTAGTGTGTATTCAGTGCATTATAAAACCAATGTACAAATCAACACAAAGATGTATGTTTAATAAAAATATAGAAACGAGTTAAACCATGAAATCCTCAATACATTTATACAACGGCTTTAATGTGTACCAAGTTCTGTTAGTGAAAAACGCTATAATCCATTAGCGTTAAGAAAAAAAAAGATTCATTACATTTTGATAACTATATAAAAAAAAGATAAACATCTATATTTATATTGTCAAATTTAATAAACTTTAATAATATTAGCTAACATTTTATTCAGACTTGTAATTATTTTACAGAAATGTAATTATTATCGAAATTATAATAAAATGCACACCTAACTAGACAATGATGGCGAAAGATTAACTTCTAAAGGATTGTGTTTCTTTTTGGTTGTTGAGGCATCTATATTTTCTAGTAGCCTTTCTTGCCTTTGCTGTGTGATAGGTTTTGTCGCTGGTGTATAACGGTCAGATATCCATCCCTCCATATTATATCCAATAAATCCAATAATAGCCACAATAGGAAATGTAACGTATTTACCAAATCTGCCCATGGATCTCACTATCACGGGCCACATTTTCTTAAGTGGGAACTGAAATGGAAGCAAAATCATTCCAACAAGTTTTCGAACCGAAATCAATACAAAATTTACAAGAATACACATTATATCAACAAATACACAACACACATACAGAAATATATATTATATAAATATAATTATAATAATTATACAGGATAAGTGCCGCAACTTAAAAATCAATAAAATTAGGCTTATTCGATGTTTTTTTGCATGAAACGAAAGAATCACAGAAAAAAAGTGTCGCTCTGTCCTACAAACCGAGATATTAGGCGTTATGCTGATTCTACAATGATGATCGGTAGTTGATAATCCTAAGTCTTATCAGTGATGATTAATAACCAACTTGTACACACCGACATTAATTGGTCACCTTCATTGATTGAGACTAAGACTTCTAATAGACTCATTGTAGAATCAGCATAGAAGTTGACGACTATTGAGATAAGGAATTTGTCACAGAGGCAAAATAAAGTCTATAATTGTACTGTTCTACATGAGTTCCAACTTTCCACGCGAAGCTGAAGTTCTCACCCTCCCCCCCCCCCACAAAGGGGCGCACTTCTATAATTGTACTGTTGTTGTTAAAGTTAGAAAATCTATCATGTAGACAGTGACATGTATAGACTAGTGCTTATTCGGGGCGGCGTAGCCATCCTGAACAGAATAAAAATAACATATCCTACCCGCTTGAAGTCTAATTGCCTAAAAGTTGCAGTCTAGAATAGTAAAAAAATCGCTCTAAAAAGACTGTTCTCATTTCCCACTGTCATTGTCCATATCACAGATTTTCTAACAACAATATAATTATAGGGGAGGAGGGAGTGTGAAAATCGGGGATGAGAGTCGCTTCGTATAAAAAGTCGTTTCGCGTAGAACAATACAATTATAGACCTCATTTTGCCTGACAGATTTTCTAACCTCTCAATAGTTGTCAACTTTAACGCTTAATATCTCGATTCGCGAGGCAGAGTGATACTTTTTTTCTGCCAGATTCTTTCGTTTTAAAAACGCGTTGAATAAGTCTAATTTTATTGATTTTTAAGCTGCAGCACCTATTCTGTATAATACCGTAATTATATATAAACGTCATCCAAAAAAAAAATATGTAACATATAAAAATTCGTAAAATGATATTTGTAAATAAGAAGAGAAGTGGAATTATTAAATTTAAATGCAAGAACAAGTCTCTAAATTCTTTAAATTTTCAACTGCGAATATACTTACACAATTTTGTGCAAGTTAGATAAACACTTTTTTAAACAAGTTAGCCAACTCGTAAGGTATGAGATGTATGTTCTTCCAAACTCCCTAAAATCTGATCACGTGATTGACCATTCAGAATTGCCACCCTCGAAATTAAAAATATCCTAATTTTTTGCAATTTATGCTTTATTTGTGTAAAACATAATACTTTCAATTAATAATTAAGTTATATTTTGAATAAAAATTATTAATTTTACGTATTTTGGTATTATATATATATTATATACATATGCGACATAACAAATATATATTACATTATCTTTCACAGATGCCAGATTCTGTTTTACAGTTGGCAATCCTGAAATTTAATTGTTCTCATAGTTTCTTTTCACAGTTCCACGTTCCACAGTTCTTTGTAGATATTTGTGAGCTGTAAGTGTACTTCGCTATTAATTGATATATACGATTAATAATAATTAATTAACAATGCCTGCAACGAACAATGAAGACGATCCGTACGCACACGTTGCGAAGGGTACTCTACAATTGAAAAACGAACAAATAATGAGCAAAAAGTAAGTACTTCATTCATTTAATGTTCTTGGTCGAATGAGGTTAAGTTTATCATGAATTGTTCACTTTTATGTTTGTATGATGTCGTGTGATTTTTTTTAATAAATAAATTCTGTTCTTTTCCTTCTATTGTAATAAATTAATCAAATAAATTTTGTTTTATAGGAAAAAGGATAAGAAAGGAAAAAAGAAAAAGCTGGTAGAAGTGTCAAAGATCATTGAGGAGGAAAAACCTCAAATGGTAGAAGTAAAGCGAACGAAAGCAGAGCTGGCTTTTCAAAAAATGCAAGAGAAAATGGTAAGCACATATAGTCTGTTTAAATACATCTTTATAATGACATCAAATAAAAAAAAGCTTGACAATAATAAAATGTTTTTTGTAATAAATTACAGCAAACTGAAAGGATTAAGCAGAAAGCTTCCAAGACACATAAACAACGAGTGGAAGAATTTAATCGACACTTGGATAGCTTAACTGAACACTTTGACATACCGAAAGTGAGCTGGACGAAATAAACTGCAATGTTACTTAAGAAATTTATTTATATTGTAATGTATTATATATATAATATAAACAATAGTCTTAGTTTTAGTTAAAAATATGAATACATATTAATCATAACATTTTAATCTTTAAATATCTTCAAATAGAGTTTTTCTTCTTCTTATATATATTTTTTTGCTTAAAAAAATGAAAAAAATTCTTAAATGTGAATTATTCTAACAATAAATTTTTAAATTTAAGAAACTATGAAGAGAGAAATCTGTTATATATTTGTGTAACTTTGATGCAATTATAGTATTTAAAGATTAAATAAATTCTTTCTTCTTTGTAAACATCATATGATAAATTAAATAATAAAAGTTATTAATATAAAATATTACAAGAAATTGTATTTATTTTATAAATCGTACAAAATATCCTTAGAATCCCCTGTTTTAATGACTTTTTAATGACTATATAGATGTCATTTTCAATAGTCAAAAGTTACAAAATAGGATCCTTGATAATATATATTTAATAAGAGCATTCTATTTCTAAACATAATTAAAATAATAAAACATTTATTATTAGTTTCTATATTTAATTTGAAAATATATTGTTCTATCAGGCAGTAAAAATATTTAAAATAAAAAAAATATTAAAAAATATTTAGAATAATTTATTCTGGAATTAAATCTCTATAAAAGTTTTTTATACAAATATAATAAAATGGATGCGATAAATGTGTAAAGTAGAATGCAGCCATTTTATGTAAGAAAAATTCCTTGTAATTCTCATGGACGGACTTTTGATATGTTAACATATCTCATATTACGTATTATCTACTTACATAAAATTAGATGTGAATAAAATTTAAGGCACGTGTAACCACATAGTTACAATATGGACGGAGTGCTGGCGCGATGCAAATTATCGTGAGAATGGTTTACGAGCGCGTGCATGTGATATTTCTGATATGAAATCTTTATCGCGGCGAAAGAATCAATAAACGATTTCGTTCTTTCCTGTGTAAAGAATTATTTACATGTTAAAGCATAGCACTGCTATTAATAGCTATTAATAGCGTGACAAGCAAGAACGAAAAGCTGTTTGTATTGCCGCCACTACCAAAATGGAAGATCTTTATCGTGTCCACCGTTCCTTCCCAGGGATTGCTTCCGTCATCAAAGTACATCGGACACCGATCGCGTTCTCGCTCGTATTCCTGTTAAAGGATTATACATGAGTGAGTATAGTTTCACTTAGAATTTACATCATATTCGAAACGGCATTTATTCTCACTTGTAACTCCAGCGCGACTGATGCGCCTTCTGTAAAATTGTGACTTGTTACATCTTGTTTGAGATCGCAAAATGGACCGATGGCTTGAGATATAAGCACTCTATTCAAATCAGCCCTCTGATATACCCAACAGCGATATTTGCTGTAAGGATCCAATTCGCTGAATGTTATTAAATACGATTTTAAGTTTTCTTTCCAAAATCCAATACATATCATTGTATAATCAGGATCGCCTGTAAAAATAATAATATTGACAGTACAGCTATACAAGATATATATATAGATGGATATACAAAATATCAATAAAACTCACTATAAATATCAACC